AAAGTCAATCTTGAATTAATGCTTCAAGACCGAGAAACAAATTAGAAAATAGATAGGTTTAAGTAGCAATTAGTGGTTGAAGGATAAGATCAAATACAATGACATGCAAATATCTTTATATAAAAAAGTAGGAATAATTACGTAACCCTACATCCTACATAGATCTGGCAGCAGAACGTTTCAGAATGGCAATTTGTTTAGCTGATATTTAAAGAAAGGATTGTTAATACCCTTTATGGCTTCAATGAAAAACCTTATTTCACTTGAAGAGAGCCTGTCTGATATCAGTTCATACAGATTAATATGGTGACAGGTTCAAGATGGCACTTGAACATTCTGAATAAGTGAATAGAACGCAATTATGGGTTGAGATTTTGGTGATAATAAAAAACATCATAGATTTTTTTAAATAAACAGCAAGTAATAATAGATGAGGAATCTTTTAGATAAGGCGTGTTTCGAGCGCTGAAATGTTGAAATTTGGGATTACTCGATATAATCTCCAAAGCATAAATTAGAATATGCCATTACTATTCCAGAAACTTTCTAGCGCGACATGTTTCGATTGCCGATATAAATGTCATGTAGGAATTAATGTGACCTGGGGATACCCATTGCCTCTTGAAATTTTAGCCAAGAGAAGAAACCTATTAATTATTCGGGGAAGCACTCTAAAAAATGTTGTTTTTCCCGTTATATGAGATGTATTCATTCTATTTTAAGATGTAGTTCAATTTTCCACACAATGACATGAGTAAGACTTACGCTTTCATTGAATTTCCCATAGCCTTGTTTTCCAAAAGGTATTCTGACACAAGGTGGACTGCCGCTTCGATCCCGCCTAAGTCTTATCATCACCCCCGGCAGAACTCGAATTCTGATATTGCAGAGTATAATCTCGAAACGATAATCACTAGGCCAAACTTTTATGGGTGTGTTTGGGTCACAGGACAGATGTGAATTTCAAGTAAGGCTAGGCCTTTCCTCATAATAACAAAAACTTAGCTGAGGCCCCATGGGCAACCAAAAATAGCCTGCCAAGAATATGATAAATTAAGTCTTTAATGATTCTTCGAAGGCTTGATGAGCATTTGTTCCAAGAGCTCTAAAGAGCAAGCCATTGTTCAGCTATACCAACCAAATCAGATTATATGATTTGGAGAGATCGAAATAACCTGAGCACGATTGGGAAATCCAACAAGAACACTTGTAGATAAGCGAAGCACTGGAAAAAAAGACAAAGTTTTTTCTTCTCTATTAATGCATTAACATTGGCGAGATACCGAGCGCATGGAGAATATGACTACTAAGTTTGTAAGATGTGCATTCCGTATGAAGATATCGGAATAAAATAAAGATCCGATTTAAATAGTAGCGTATACGTCATCTGATGAGACAGCGCTTGCATTGAGAATATCGGTAACGTAATAGACCGAACAAAATTACGTAAAATTTTGGCATCCTAAATATAATAGCATTGGTAAATAATTAGAGAAGAGTTTAGCAGAAAATGCTGATAGTCTTTATTTTTTTACAGTTAAATTCCAGCCTAGGCTATGCATTCAGGCTCATGCCCTGATTAGGAATGAGTTTATCTGTAATGTCTGAATGTCAGCTTATTTTTCACATTATTTTGACGTGCATAGATCTGCCTCACCGAGGATTTAAGCCACATAAGATATATATATATATATATAAGAAGAGATTGTTTCAAAAAATACACTTTTCGAATAGCTTCAAAAGGTACTGCGAAGATTCAAAAATGAATGAAATAGTTCGAATGACAAGAGTTTATATCAAGCTAGAGGATGGCGGACTACCTGTTCAGAAGATTCTAAATAGCAAATAATGATTCAAGCTGGATAAAGGTAAATATAAAGCCCACAGAAACTGATTTCCCTCTTAATTTTCTTTCGATCTTACTTATAGAATTAAGATGTCACATAATCAATAATAATAATAATCGGGATGAAGAATCCGCTGAGAGGTCTGCAGTGCGTTAGAAGGGCACATATGATGTATTAAAAAGAAGAATGCGGACAATTTATTATCGGAATGGATTTCCGAGTACATTGCCTAATTTTATAAAATAGTATACATATTACCTTTTTACTACCCACCAACCAGAGATGAGGACCGCCACTTTCTGAACAGAATGAAGCACACTGGCGGCCGTCACTTGCGGTGGATCGAGACGCTCCTTCAAATACTCAATAAGCCGACCAAAACCCATTACATTAGCTTGGCAGTAAAAAGAGAAGTAGGGCCAAGATTTAGCCATTTATAAATTCAAGATAAAAGAGTTGATTGTACTAGAAATCTCATCAAGGATCAGAAGGGGAGAATGATACATATATGTCACGGATAAAAATATGGGATTGCAGCTTTAAACTACATGGTATCAACAGTTATAGTCCCTAGTTTTTATCTAATGAAAAGACTTAGAAATAATAACATCGACTCAAACTTGATTGTTTGCTCAGAAATAAATCCATTGCGAGGTATTTTACTGATATAATAGTCCAAACTGAGATTTAGAATATAAAATAGGCATAAGAGCAAGTTATGCGTTGTCTTCTTGCCATATTTTGCTAGCTAGACATAAG